AAGAAAAGAAAAGAAAAGAAAAAAGGAGAAATAAAAGAATCTACATTTCTAGCCAAAAAGGCCAAATGCTGAAGTGGAATACAGCAGATTTTGAAGAACTAAGATTGGTTATTTGTACTAGCTAAAACAATTATATTTTTAAAGCTCTTGTTTTAGTATGCTACTAAGATGAGCCACTGGTTATCCAGACCTACAATTTCACAGGGCAGGAGAATAACTATTTGATAACAGAGGGGGAAAAAAGTTTCCCTCACCTGCTTCTGGATAAAACAAATATATGGTCTAATTATGCTACAAAAGGATCTGTTTGAGGAGGAAAAAGGCTATGGCTTTGGAGAATCAAACAGCCCACCATCCGGCTGTTGTAAGTCAAGAAGTTCTTGTTCTTATTATCTGAGAATGTAAATTGGTTGATCTGGGAGGGATGAGGAAAAACGTTATTTATTCGCAGCATAACAAAATACTGTCAATTTGAATTACTTCCAAGCAAATGAAGGTCTCTTATACTCACAGTTGCCATGCGAAATACTGATTGGCTCAGAATCTTCTGGGAAACCAGCCCCAGCAAAGTGTAGCAGTGTGAAATATAGCAGCAAGGCTTCTGACCTCATAGTAGTTCAGCTGGGAGACTTCTTCACTTCACACTGTGAAAAATAAACAAAGGCTTTAAGGGATCCAGTTTCAACCAGTGCACAAAGAAATGCAAAAAAGCATCAACAGAAAGAATCATTATGTTTGGAAAAGACGTTCAAGATCATCAGGTCCTTCCTCCAACTATGTTTCTCAAATACCTTTAGGGATTGGGATTCCACCCTTTCCCTCAGCAGCCTGTTCCAAAACTTGCTTGCTACCTCTCTGAGAAACTCTTCCTAACATCCAGTCTGTACCTCCTCTGGTACAACTTAAGACTGTTTCCCCATGTTCTATCACTGGTCAACTGAGAAAACAGACCAAAAGCCTCTTTTCTCCTTTTGAATAGATGGAGAGAGCAATAAGGACTCTCCTCAGCTTCCATTTCTCCAGACTAAACAGGCCCAATTCTCTTAGCTATTACATATGTCTTGCTTTCCCTCTCCTCAAGCCTCTTTCTGTAACTGAGGAGCTGTGATGAGTTACTAAAAAGAAACTGTCCAAACAGGCCATTTCCCCTCTAGCCCATGCCCCAGTGGGTTCTTAGTTGAATACAGGCTTTAGCATCTGTGTAAGCTGCTCATATGCAACAGAGAAACTTCATGCCCTGCGCTGATCAATAGCCGACGTGAGTTTTACAGCAAATACTGAGACTGTACACTCTTTGGTTTGCATAATTAGATGATGACATACACAGTAAATAAATAAAAAACACAGTACATTATTCTGGTTAAGAAGAGATTGAGGGTTATGCTTCAGGACTGATTCATATCCTGTGGAGCAGTGAATCAAGTGAAGAAATACAGAAAGAGCTTGATGGAGCATGCAGAACATGTCAGTGGGCTTTGGCAGAAAAATATGTAACCATTAATTTAGATGCCATAAAACCAGTACTCCAACTCATGATAAAATAAGGGAGAGCAGAACTGTCTAAAACCAGCATTTTTCCCTTGCGTTCCACCAATGCATTCACTCATTCACGTTTCATGTATAAAAATATCCCTAAATCTTGAGTGTGAAAGGAACCACAGGAGCCTTTAGAAACAGCAAAAGAAAACAGTGCATAATACAGTAAACAGCTCATAATTCCCAGGCAAATTCACACAGGCATTGATCTGCAGGGAAAATCAGGGTAAAAGTGGGGTTTTCTTTTCATCCCTCCCAGAATTTTAAACCTTTGATGCTATCTGCCCAAGATTCCTTTTGAATAAAGGCATTTTTACAGTAGTCTGTCAGTCACTCTACATTCATGGGCAGAAAGTCAGACTTCATAACCTACACAGCCTTTGAAACTTAATTTGGAAAACAATGTGCTAACTTGCTCTTCTGAAGCATCATTTAGTATTAGATAACAATGTCTCCTTTCTCTATACCAAAAACCAAACCAAACCAAAACACCAAAAAGGGCTTTACACGTCTTCAGTGTTACGTTTTCATTTGCAATTTTGCAGGCATATTTCTCATCTCATATCCAATTCAAAATGTCACAATTATTAATTTCCCTTATTATATATTTGCTTTTAAGTAAATTTTCTGCTCCTCTAACTGCACTGGAATAGAGAATCTGTTGCAGTGCAATACAGTTCATAAGGACAAATGATTTATTGTATTCTGTGACTATTACTCAAACACAAATTGGAAACTTGGCTGATTCTCTATGTCTATTAACAAAATAACTGAGACTGAGTTAAGCTGAGACTAAAGAAAAAAAAATCTAACGTGAGGCAATGACTGACATGAGCAAAGTCAGAGTGATGGCAAAGAATTAAAACAGCAACAGTAAATACAGCACAATACAGAAATGTCTATTATACCTTGTGTGAGAATGCGTGGTGGGAGATAGCACATTCAAGTCCCAAGAGAAGCCTTCCTATCCAGCAATGGCTGGGTGATAGCTGTGTGTGATTACTGACACAGTTACACCTGCCTGCAGATGCTTTCTTTGCCTTTTTCCTCCATTTGTCTCTTTAATGATTGTTTACATTTTGCCTTCACTGCACTCCAGTGCACTAAGTTTCTTTCCATTTCCATGCCCAGTGAAACCTCACTTGGGCTCCTTGGGGATGCCCAAAGTAGAAACTAGGAGAAGTAAACACAGTACTTTCAAATAGTTGCTTTGCAAAGGTATGGATTAGAGCAAAGACCTGCATTAGGTGGATTAATTTCTTTCTCTTCACGTAATTCTTTGATATGTAATTTTGCCACCTTTAAAATTCTGTCACTGGAAAGTGACTAAATAAGGTATCCAGTATTAACACAAAAATAAATTTGAATTATTTTCTTGAAATTGCTGCATTCCAGTGAAAAACTATATTCTGAAATGCACATGACCTTATGCTTATTTAGCAGGAAGAAACTTATTAAGCAATTCAGTTCTTCCTCTTGAGCCTTATTCACTCACAGCATCAGCCTGCAGGATGGCAATCCAGACCACCTGGCTCACAGTGAGCCTGACTCTGGAGCAGAACAGCTGCTTGCTGGTACTCCCTGTCAGCACATCCTCTGTTATCAATGTGTTCCTACCAGGAAGGCATTAAGGTGCTGTATGCATACAGTTGCCACTTCACCTTAGAGCCTGAAAAACTTTTCTTGTGGGTGATTTTACACCATCACTCTCTTCTGCCCATTAAAACATGCGTACTGTTTCACATAAATATATACCAGAGACTGCTGACAGGCAAATGAACGGCATGTAACAAACTTATGCTGTCATTTTATGTACAAGTTACTGGACCAAATCTTTTTTCTTTCAGCTGCAAACTGTTAGCTCACAAATGAGCTGTTATATTGCCTCCTAACAGAGATTAGATCAGTAGGTTCTTAGTATGGAATTCCCTGTCACTCTTAGGGGTACCTCCTGTGGAGGAAAAGAGAGGAGGAGACAGAAAAAGAAGAGCAGTTCTCTGTTACTGTAGTATTAATGTCCTTGTTGGAATTCACACAAAACAATGCAAAATGCCTGCTTCTATCTGTCTGCATTTGGAGTAGACTGCAAATCTCTATCAATGTCTATGCCAATAAAATAACATTGAATAGGACACAAGCTACACCTAAGGTAAGTTTTTGCAAGAAAATTCAAGAGTAGTGTTATTTTTGATGTTCTTACAGTTGTGGAAAGATCTGCATGGTCAGAGTGGAATTTCAGAAAAGTGCTGATTAGAGAAGGCTACACTTATATTTAGGACAAACATCCTTTTCAGCAATTCCTGAACCCTGGTTGGGCTCTTGGGAGTGATGCAAACATTCTCAAGTGCAACTGTGAGTAAGCTACTTCTAATAAAAAATGCTTCTAAGCACAGAGGTGGAAGAAGCAAGAGTAGATATGTGGTGATGCTGGGTGAATGCAGGTACCATCTCAAAATAAACATTTTGTAAATGTCCATGGAGAAAACTTCAGTCAGTGTAAACCACTGTAGTTCACTTTGGCTTTCACTAAGCCGTGGCTGCCCAACCTTTGGGCTTGCCTGGGTGAAGGGAAATTGTCTTGGGCTGCATTTATGTAATGCCTCCTATTCATTTCCATGGAAACTGCAGTTACAGTCAACACAGTAACTATTTGATGGAGCACGTTCTCAGCTACAAAACACTATTTTTCAGTATAGTTACCACCATTAGCTACGTGCTTTTTGCCACTGATGAACAAGACCTTGCAAGGCATACTCATCAAAATCTGCTCCAGGGGAGCTGACACACGATCACTGTTGCCTCTGCTGAAAGGTGCCACCCACCACTATTGGTCTCTATAAAAACTCAGAAAGTGCCAATGAATGTCATTGGGTGCCACTTTTTCTGCGTGGAGGAATTCAATTCCACACCTTTACTTCATATGCATTTTCATGCCAGAAGTCCATCTCACACAGCAACAGAATGTAATGGAATACTGGTGGGAAGGTTCAACCTCTACTGCCATACCACACCAACATCTACCTCTGATTTTGCGGGTCAACATGAGAAAATAGGAGGCACTGCTTTTGGAGCAGCCTTTGTAAAATATACTATGCAGTTAATGCACATAAGTGATGAAATTTATTTTAACTGTTAATATTTTAACATTAAGAAATGAGAGCAAAAAACCATAGAACTATTGGGACATTCAACCATGTTTTGGTGTAACTATGACATCAGTCTGTTCCAATGGCAGTGGTTCCAATTCTTGGTGTGTTCTCATAATGTTCATCAGAGATTTTTGATGAAATTTTACTCTTCCTCTACTACTTTGTCCTTGATAGTAATTACTCAAAACGTGCACACTGCTAAAAAGTGATGACATGAATAAGGTGTGATTGTGAAGTGAGGGATATCTTTCTTTGGTAAGACAGGTCTTGTACAAGTCTAGGAGGGAGACAAGAACAGAGAGATTTCTGAGCAGAATATCTGATTGCAACTCTACAGATTCTATTTGAAAATTTGCAGGTCATGTATTCAGTCAACTGAAAATGGTGTTACAAATATAAATTGATGATTTATTCAGCAATCTTGAAACCTATTCTGAAATTCCTGTATCAAAACCGAAAGCAAGGCTGCCTAATCTTTGTTCACAGGAATGTGTTCAGACAGTGTATCTAAGTGCATACAATTTTTTGCCATAACTTGAACTGGCACTGCACTGCATCCTTTCTGTGCTCTGGTTTCAGCCCAGACAGTGCTAACTGCACACCACTTATTTGGTTGTTGTTGAGCAATGAGTGCATAGCAATGACAGCACAGGGCTGGGGGCAGCTGCACTGTGAGCTGTGATGGTCTGTTTATGCCCCTGGTCTGTGGGTTGGACATGCCTGCACTAAGCCACATAAACTGAGAAAGAACTGGCTCTCAGAAACCCCATTCTCTCTGTTCAAAATATGCTTATTGCTCCTGTAAGGGAAGCTAGTAGTCAAAAGAAGAGTGAATTGTGGCACTGTTCTTTCCTTAGCAGACCTCTGGAATACAGCCTAGGCAGTAGATGGTTTATGCCTAATGCATGAATTGTAGCATTTAAGCTGATGGCACAGACCAGATTTCTTCCAAAAAGCCA